TAGTACGCGGAGTAGCTGTGGAGCTGGAAGCTGAGAACTGGTGACTTGGTAGTACAACTTTAGTACGCGGAGCAATCTGTGGAGCTGGAAGCTGAGAACTGAGAACTGGCGACTTTGTAGTACAACTTTAGTACGCGGAGTAGCTGGGGAGCTGGAAGATGAGAACTGGCGACTTGGTAGTACAACTTTAGTACGCGGAGTAGCTGGGCGGTGGGAAGATGAGAACTGGCGACTTGGTAGTACAACTTGAGTCCGCGGAGTATCTCGGGAGCTGGAAGATGAGCACTGGCGACTTTGTAGTACAACTGTAGTACGCGGAGTAGCTGGGGAGCTCGAAGATGAGAACTGGTGACTTGGTAGTACAACATTAGTACGCGGAGTATCCGGGGAGCTGGAAGATGAGAACTGGCGACTTGGTAGTACAACTTGAGTACGCGGAGTATCTGGGGAGCTGGAAGATGAGAACTGGCGACTTGCTAGTAGAACTTTAGTACACGGAGCAATCTGTGGAGCTGGAAGATGAGAACTGGCGACTTTGTAGTACAACTTTACTACGCGGAGGTGACTTTCGAGAGGTGAAGAACTTGCAGAAAACAGGTGTTCCTGCGCTTCAGAAAGACATACAGAGAGAGACACATACACACACAGAGACCCACACACTGCCTCAACACACTCGACTTAACACTTCACACTGAACACTTATAACACACTTAACAGATAACTCGCACTCTGACTTCCTACGTGATGAAAAATGCTTTCGGGCCACTCGTCGTCTAGTATGTTTTTTTCAGCAGGGTGCCACCGGGGTCCCAAAGGAGCGGTGGCCAACGAAGACCTCCTCTGCGACCCGTGTAAACGTACCTGCCAAACTGGTTGCCCGTTGTTCTCGCTCTGGTTTGCTTACATGGTGGCTCATGTATGTGGTTCTGTTAATAACCGCAGCTCGCGTTTCGTGTTTTACCTTTCACCTGATTTCTTAGGCGTTCATACCTAGGTGGGCGTGTAGCGAGCGGCATTCGAGTCAGCACGCATTTCAATAAGTGTGCGTCAACTCCTGTTTCAAAGGAATATGACCACACTAAGGGACATTCATTTGTACAGAGCAGGGGGCCAGGCAGGATACATCGTCGCCTGGTCAACGAAGCTCGCGATGTATCTGAGGATATGGAAATGGGACGCCATTTCCACGTACCTGCACTGCTATCCAGGGAGGCAGAAGGAAATGGTTCTCGGCGCACTGTGTGCGTCGGTTCCTTTCCTTCTGTTGACCCTTTTCTACTCTAATGGGGCGATTCGAAAGTCTCGCCCCCAAGCTACAAACTGGAAATTTAATTTCCTTTTCTAGCTATTTTCTACCCTATTTGAAGCGATTCCTTTGGTCTCTCTTCCAAATGAAACTTACTCCATTATGCACAGCCGTAGTTCGGGACCGCTAAGTTTTCAGTAACTAAACTGCTGCAGTTGCGCATAAAACAAGTTGTTAAAACACCTGCAAGTGAACTGGACTCAGCGATCTTACCGTTCGGTCATTCCTTTTCCCTGGAGTTCAAAACTGATACAGCTCTTGCGAGCCATGATCTAAGTGTGTATATATATGTATACATACATATACCCCCGCAATCCCTGTTTAAAAAAGACCTCAAAAACAACATCAACATGTGCAGAGATCACTGTTTAAATACCACTGAAAAGTGCAAACAGGTAGGGCTTTGGGGGAGGTACCATACATTTATATGTGTATATAAATATATATACTGTATATATATATATAAAACACTATACAAGATGCTGCACACTATGT